CTTTTCTGTCACAAGAAAAACGACACGTTTCTATATAAATTATTATATTATGAAGAACAATTAATTTTAGCGTTTGTACTGTCACATATTTTGCGACACGCTGCTGCGCCTGTCACAGAAATTGCGACACGCTACTAAATTAATATTTGTATTACTAAACTAAAATAGTGCCGATCATGGGTTTGTTTAACTGCAGAGGAAGATTTTATCATGTGACTAACTTATCTGATTCATCAGATCATGCCGTAACACAAGATAAGCCAAAAAAAAAATAAATTACAAGTACCATAGAAAACTGACTATAGCGTACAAATCTATATTAATATTAAACGTAACAATTAAAAATCCAACCACATATTCCTATACTATGATATTATGTATCATATGATCCACATCAAATATAAAGAATAAATGTTGATTATGTTAACAAATGACACCAAAACTGCCTATACCGTTGATTGTATCCAATAAAACAACAAAAAACCACAAAATACAGTATAAGCGTGCCATCATCCTAGTTTATTATCAGCCTAATACGTACGCACATATTCCACTAATCAGAGCGGCTAAAACATTCGAAAACGTATTTCTACTTACGTATTGTTAAGACGTAAAGTAATTCGGAATTTAGTTAACAAGCATTTTTTTTGTCATTTGTTGTCGAAAACGTATTATTACAAAGCGCGAATATGATTATCCAGAATAAGAAAACAGGAGGAAAAAAACTCAATATTGTGATTTGAAGACCGGCGAGTAGCAATACAAAATTATTTAATGCAAAACGTCAAAACCAATGCATGTAAATCGCATACATATGAATGTTAACTTGTAGATTAACTTTGAGACAATAACCTCATAACGTTTAGCAGATTTTACTTTCGGGCTGGACATAATCGTCCTTGGGACAAAGCAAGTGCGTTTGGTGCTTGGTCTGAATAATGCCAAAGCATATGTTATACACCAATCGTGATTTGAATTTTCAAATGTAGAGATTGACAACAAAATTCGTTTTATTATCAGACTGATATTATGTAAACCATATTATTTGCGGAATAAGCTTATATATAGCGCGTAAAAATTCCATAGTTAAAAGTGTGCTGCAGTGTTGTTACGATTCGGGGTGTCCAGCGTAAACCAGATAAACGGACAGGTAAACGTACGGCTCCCTTCAATTTAAAACACTAGCTTTCCCTTGTTTTAATCACTAGTGTTACTAGTACGTTTAATGGTTCACAATTAGATATTAAATATTTATATTAAATAACTACGATCAGTAGTGAGATAGATACAATTCATGAGTTACTGATAAATTAAAATATACTCATTGAAAGGGTTCCCAATCGACTAATCGAAGTAATATCGTCCTTCTTAATTATACTTCTTGATTAAAAAAAAAAATAGTATTCTCCGGCTAGAAATTGTTTGCGACATCTCTTAAATCGACGAATTATTCTACGTGACCCACTATCCAAATTTTTATTTATTTAGTTAGCTATACGGGAAATATAAATAAATACTAAGTATCATAATTAACCAATATTCATATTCATCCACCATTATCCGTTCAATAATTAAGCAAACCGCTTAGTTACCCACTTCCTGGCTTTTTGGAGCATCTTCTCAATAGCACCGAAATCATACCCACTCAACTCATTTAATGCTGTCTGAGCTTTTTCATAACACAGTTCCCATTCTTCTTTAAAGTCTTTCATGACAATCTCAAGATAAGCCAAAGCGATACAAGTAGACCAGACAGAATCTTGATCTTTGTTATTGAATAAATTCTTGTCTTTTCCCTGTGAAAAGAATTTTGATAATTTTGCAGTTGGCTTGAAAAATCCGTCAAAGGATTGAAATCTGATAAATTCATAAAGAGTTTCAATTTTAGCCAATTTCGGTTCAAATTCAACTGAATTAGTATTAGTATTAGTATTAGTATTGGTCGCCTTTTTTTCTCTGCTTTTACGTGTTGGCCAAAACTTGAATTTCCTTCTACGAGTACCATAATTTAAATCATTGTTAGAAACCTTGAGATCTTGTACTTGGTTCAACGCCTCATTAGTGGCTTGAATAGCATTAGTTTGAGACTGGAAAAGATTTTTATCATTATTGTTTTTGTCTGATATTTCTTCTTTGGTGCTGAAACTAAGATAACTACTGAATCGTGCTGATAATGAGTTGAAAGTTATGTTGTTCCCATCTGGAATTTCTTCTCTGGTTCTGGAATTATAATGATCAATTGGGCAACTCATTTGCATTATTGGCATGCCGGTTGGATATAACCCCTGTTCTCTTTCGAGTCGTGGACTATTACATGGCATGCCTAGCCACCCCTGTTGACCATAATCACGTGTTTTCTCATCTCCCATCTTTTTCTTTCCAAATTTTCTAATCGGATTGATAGAAAAAGGCATTTGAACCATCCGGGCTGCCGTATAACCAACATTCATGGTTGCAGGACTAAACGTTGGGGAAGTCGCAGAACTAGTCATTGATGTAGGTCTGAGACCATATACAGGATTGAAAGCTACATCTGTCTTGGCTCCCACGGTTTTCTTTCCAAATTCTCTAATCAGATTGGTAGAAAAGGCCGTTTGTTCAGGATCAACTAGCCGGGATGGCGTATAACCAGCATCCATGGTTGCATGACTAACTGTTAAAGGTGCCGCAGGGGGGGTTGCATGGCCGTAGTCAACAGGACGAGGCCCAGAACGCCGAGAGCTACCTAGGTATATAGAACTGCTACCTGGAGTCTGCAAAAATAAAAGAAAAGATGTTAGCAATATCTGCCAAAAAAGAATGAGTAGGAAGCAAACTTGCTTTTTCTTTAAGCTTTAACTTACTAACCCTAACTACATAGCGATTCCTGCTTGCCTGTACAGGAACAATGCGCTTTTGAACTTCAACCGTCGAGAAAGTTTGGTCCCTTTCATCAATTGCCAGAAAACTTATAGATAATCGAAGAGATCAGTTACCTATAACAAACCGGGCAAACATCCTTTAAACACTTTCTTTTTGCCATTTACACAATTTACCTTGTATACCTTGAGACTAAATTGGCCTCAGTTGCAAGTTTAACAATTGCATTTCTTGCATCTTCAGCTGATAATGCTCTCCCCTGATTTTCCGGATCATTATGCAAATAACTTCTCTTATCTTCAAGATCCTGTATTAATTTCCTGGCAGCTAGCGTATGAATCTTACTTTCGTCAAGAATAACTGGATCAATCGGCACAGTAAGTTCTACGGGCCCATTGCGAGATCGCATTGTAATTGTAATACGCCGTGCAGGTTCAACGTCTGGTGCAAAGAGCGCGTAGACGACACAGCGAACACCTTGATATAATGGTGGAATGACATAAGGCGCTTGACGATATTTTACAGCATCCGAATCACTACTCTCGGTGTCAACCCAAGAAATTTTGTAATCAGTCAGTGGCGGTCGAATAGCATTCTTGACCATTCCAGCAACCTTTTTGTCCATCCTCTCATCATAGCTGACGAACTGGGCGTATCCCCTTCCGGCTCGAGCAACAGATTCCACTAAATGATGACTGACAGAGCTTCCAATGCCCAACGAAAACAATCTCAGACTGTCTTTCTCTTCCTTCACTTTATTCTCGATCAATTCAACAATCTCATCTACATTCCAGACCTCACCATCGGTCAATAAAAACACGGCAGTTGGCAGTTTTTCACTCTTATTTTCCAAAACCCATTTTAGAACCGATAAGAGATGAGTACCGCCAAAGTTAGCTTCCATTGTCTGAGCATGTTGAATGGCAGCGCTATAGGAAGTTTCTGAGTAAGGAACAGACTTTTCAAACAAGGAGGAGTAAGACGAGCCAAACGAGACCACATTGAAAAAACAGTTTGATGGCAGAGAGCGAAGTATTAATTCGAGCGTTTGTCGAGCTTTAGTCATCGGCGCGCCACCCATTGAACCGGATCTGAAACAAATAAATTCAATATTGTGTACGCCAGCACGCAACGGGACATGAAAGCGAGTACCTAAACCATTTACCTGTCCACAACGAAAATCATTTCTGTCTGTACCGGTTTAAGTTCAAACGTGGGGACAAGAGTCAACATAGTACAATTTGTCTTTGTCTTTGGATCGTACTCTGTGAATGCTCTATAAAAATAAACAAATGCATATATCACTTCAACAAATATCTGACATACTTTTCACAAACAATATTGAGTTCTATGATCAGTTCCTGTCCCTTTTCCGCCAAAACTTACCTAGACTGATCCAAATCCTTACCCTTAACAATTAACACAAAATCCCTTTCCAATTCGGTTCTATCTTCCGCAAGCCTAACTCTGCAAGTCTTTGGAGATCCATTCAAATTAACCTCAGTTTTAATCTTGTGCGTGGGTGACTCAACACTCAATAAACTCGCCGTCATACGACATATAACGTTTATGTCCAATGTATACTGAGTTTCATTCGAATACGTCGGGTTACCCACAATCAGTTCCGTTGCTGCTTGAAACGGGTCCTTTTGTGGTTTACCATAGCGAGGTGCAACAGCTGTAGGCAGAACAAAGCGAACTTGGTCGGCATCAGCATCCTGCTTAAGTTCGGTTACGTAAGTTATGCGAATTTTCACAGTCTGGTTTTGCGTAATGTTGCCAATTGAGCATTGAAAAACGTCCGGAAGTTCTTCTTGAAGGAGGTACGCACCTAGATCACTCTTATTTTAAGGAATCAAAAAAGTCTTATTAAATTGAACCAATTTTACATTGCAAACGACTTGGATAATTCGTAAGTAATCCATTATGCAAACCTGAATAGCTTCATCGTAATCTTTAGCAGCCTGCTGAGCTTCTTTGACAATACCCTTTACTGTGCGATTACCGTCAATTTCAGCTTCAAATCCGCAGATTGCTGCAGCTTCATGGATTGGGAATTTGTAGATTGCCTCAATTGCCACTGGTTCTCCATTCTTGTAAATTTGAGTTACGGTGACTTTGGGAATGGATTGCAAACATTAAGTACATTGTGAGTTCTTACTTAATTGACAAAATACTTCAATGAAATTACTACCTTCAGCAATCATGTCGACGACTATGGAAATCAATGATTGTTAGCGACGTTGGAAAACGATTTCACGCCATTTACTCTTTTATAACTACCATTTGCTTCAACATTAACGTTCTGTAAAGGAACGGGCTGTGGAATGTCTGAATCAGGAATGGTATGTGTCAGTCCATAAAAAAATGTCATTTTAGTCGTATCAAATTTCTCCCCTTTGGAAAGAAAATGCAGTTTTCGTCTTCTCTAAAAAGCATGGCATATTTATTGCAGTCAGTTAGAGTACGCAGCAAGTTAAATTGGGTATAAAGAAATTTGCATCAGAGAAGGTAGTACAATGCCGGTGAATTGCGCATTGACAACTTTCCTTATATGACTAGATTCTTATTGACATAATAATCAAACCCAATTGACACAGCCATCTAAAGTCCCAATTATATCGAAAATTATTTATAGTGAGATTCTTTGTATTGTGATGATATTAATAGATTTAAGCTTTCTCACTAGTCGATCGGAGTTTATTTCTTTTTGATTATCGACTTTGTTTGGTATTATAATAAACCCCGACTTAGTATCAAACATTCTCTCGTACCGGTATATACTGTAACACGTGCACACAACATATACGCTTTATCGCTTCAAAATTTACGTTAGCTTGCTGAATAGTAATCAATTATGCGCCGCCAAAACTTAAGCCAATGAAAAGGTTGCTCTGCTTTGAATCAATTAATAGTATCGACATAACATTGTTTCTAGTTAACTTGTATAATGTCATAATAAATTATGACCTTTTTCGCAAGAGGCTAACAGCGAATAGTAACAGATTATTTTCAACATTGTATTACGCAATTGATCCCTCCGCACGCCTTAATAGCATTAGAATATAATTTATTCCATGCCGGCAGACGTTATCGAAATAATCAATAACACATAGTGAACCTCGATAAGTCAGCTCTGTCCTTTTCTTTTTTGAATATTAAAATCCTTTCGATAAGTCGGATTCCTTGATAAGTCGGATAACCATACCCAGCCAGTCGTGTCCGACCCATCGAGTTTCACTATGTATAACATTTTAACTTCCTGCCTAGACAGTAGCATATATTTTCTAAACGGCAAAATATTCACCGAAATTAGAATGGCACGAGTATTTCGAATTCAGAATTATAATACTTGTCTTTTTGTTTTTATTGGACATTAACTAACTGTGGGAGTCAAATTAGTTCTCAACAAGCAAATACACTGCCCCCATAGCTTGTTCCAACCAACCTTATTGTTAATTAAACATGATTTTGCATATTGTCCCTAAAATATGAATCTAATGTATAACAAAACCTCGCTAGACATTTGTCGTAAAACTTGGTTAGTTTGTTGTAAGCGGTTTAATACTGAAGTTAGAATGAAAGAATAGTATATGAAATTTCGCTCTAAAGTCTTCTGAAGCAATTGTTGTGAAGAAGAAGCTTAACGTTTATAAACGTTGCGATATGAAAGCTGGTTTTACTATAAGACTTCCGCTACGATAATAAACGCTATAATGAAATAAAGCTTAAGAACAAATGTATCAGTTAGATGCAACAATAATTATTCGTTGAGAAAGATCATGTTTAAGAATAAAGTGAAAGCGTCGTAAATGAGTACGTTCGCTAAAGAATAAGAGTTAAAGGTGTTATGTTAATATTATTACTTGTATCAAAACGAGGCGAGTCTTTCCGTCGGCTCGTAATGTAACAGTTTTATTATGTGTTTTCCTTCGTGGAAACATTTAATAACCAAGATAAGGCTACTACCGATGATGTTAAGTTAGTGAGAGATATTATTATCTGTAGTACGTATGTAAGATACATACTGTTTGAAAGCGTAAATATACTGGTTGAATAAAATGTAGCGAACTTCGTAGTTCGTATCGAGTCTTTCGCTTACATATCAGGAAGTAACACCATTATTACATGACATTGTCAAGGTATGACTCATGTTATGTAGCTATAGCGGGAATACTCATTCGAGTATTCGACATGGTAGCTTCCTCACTGAGAGTGTTCATAATTGGTTTTGCTAACTAATTCACTGAACCGAGATAACTCAGATAATAGTTGATAATATCAATTACTAATTGATTTATTTAGCCTACGTTTATGTTGTTATGAGTTACTTGACTAATCCGTCGTTGTGACATTACTGCTCGACGCCAAGCGAAGAGTATTACTGAACTAAGGTTGACAAGGGTTAAGTCTTGGGAGGAATAGTATGTTTCCGAGTTATGGCGAATTATGAAAGTAAGGCTAATGTGGTTATAATTCGTATAATCATTAATCATATAGTGCCCAACCATGAAGCGATGCTGAGAAGAACCCTCAGGTGTAGCCATCACATTCACATCTAGGCATTTCAATGCACTAACAGAGACATTATTTATATTAATCAACAACAAAATAATTAGCCAATGACGATGTAATTAAAAAGAACACTAGTAATCTAATTAGTTGACAAAAAATTGGTGGTGTGACTGTACAAATATAAATTTTTGCAGTTTTAGGTGAGAATTCATTAAATAATTATTTATTATTAATATCAGTATGGTAACAGGTAATCACATAATTT